AACATGCTTTTTGGTATTGCCTTTATAAATCAGTGACCAAATCAGCCGGGGGAGGAAGATTAAAATTTCTTTTAAAGAAAGGGGAATATTAATCTTCTGGCCTGAGAAATCTGGGATTGTACAGCAAAAGAAGATCCTTGAATCCGAGACATTTTCTTGCAAGAGCTTTTTCCTCGTTCCTCTAGTTCTGCCCTCACTCCCTACCCTTCACACACCAAGGAAATGTACTCTGAAGTCCTGCATCACCTAGTGTGGTCCTCAGCCCAGCAGCAGGGGCACCACCTGGGATGCAGATTGACCTCCTGGCTCTGGAGCCAGCAAGCTGTGGCTCAACAAGCTCCCCAGGTGACACGCTGCTGAGAGCTTGTCCGCAGGTGTGCTTCCCACAGCTGTGGCTACTCCACGCTGAGATGCGCTATCAGTGCAAAACACACCCGGGGTTTGAATATTAATTCAAAAAAGAGAATGTAAACTAGCTCATTCATATTTTTGTCATGTTGGTTACTTGTTGAAATGATAATGCTTCACGTACATTGGGTTAAGTGAAAGATATTATTCAGATTAACGTCACCTTACTTCTTTTTACTTTTTCAATGTGGTTCCTGGGAATGCCCGAAGCCCCAAGGAGAGGAGGCCACAGGACAGCAGAGAGGAGAGCGGAGGGGGGAGGAACATGTCCCGCACACCCTTATGGCAGAAATCCGTTTCAGTGATACCTACTTTTGTTTGGAGAGCAAATAAAGTGAGCGATAACGTCACCAGAGCGGTTGCCCCTATGGCCCATAACACCTCATCGACTTCATAGAAACTGAAACCAGAGACTGCAGTTATTGTTCACATACAATCGAGGAAAAGCACGTGCAAAAAGGAAAGCGTGTATCACTGACTTACACTGACACGGCTCCCAGCATCAGACCTTGCAAAAATGTCTGCAAACAAAACGCACAATCCATCAGAAGGCTGATCCCGAGCCCCGCCAGCGGGGGCGGGGCCTGGGGGGGGGGGGGGGGCGTTGGCAGGGTCTAGGGAGCAAGTGGGAATACCCACAACCCTAGCGCACAAGCTACAGGGCAAATGGTTATAAAAAAATAAACAGTACAACTAAACAATCTCCCTAAGACTAGCAAGAGAAAATTCTTTTATTAGAAAAAGAATTTTAGGACACAATAGCAACTCTCAACATATTTAGTGTAAATGTGTATTGATTAGGAATGTGGAAACCAGCGTAAAGGGTTTACCTGCAGACCATATTATCATTAATCAACTGGGGCCATCCACACAGAATCGTAACATTTTATCCGGGCAGGATATGCTATTTCTACTGCAGCTTCACCAACTGTTTCAGTACCGACCTTTCCCGTGGTGCTTGGGTGAGAATAAAACACTTCTTCAAGCCTAGGGGGGGGCTGAGGCATGAGGCCTCCTCAGTGAGAGAGGTGGTGGGAGGCACTATTTACAGAGCATGAGCTGCACCTGCAGGTGCCCAGCCAGGGCTCGGAGCAGAGCTGTATTGGGGCTGCATCAGGCTGCAGGGCGCCCGGGGGCCAGTGCTGAGAGCCAGCAGACAGCCACTCAGGAGGATGTCAGGCTCCAGGACAGCGGGCTGGCCCGAGAGAGCTGCCCACTCCCCTTGCGTGTCATTCTTACTTTGCCATGTGTCTTTGTCCTTCTGCCCGATAGGAGCAGCTGGCCGATGGGGAGGGGAGAGCAGATTTTGTGGATGACCTGCCGCTCTCCCATACTGCCGGCGGGATTGGCATAAACGCTCATACAGGATTCAACCCTGTCTCTGCTTCATTGGCTCAAGTAGTGACCAGCAGCCCAGGCCTGTTGGTTGTCCGGTTTTACATTCTGGCCACTCTGGTGGGACGAGAAGAAGGGGAGTCCTCCGGGGTGACTACCGGGGATCCCACTTGCTGTCTGGACTGGGGTTCCCGGGGCTGAGGCCTGGACTCTTATCCGAAGCACTGCCAGGAATGCTCCTGTTGGAGTCCCAGCCGCAGCCTCAGCCATCCCCGTGGGCGGACGCCATCCGGGATGAAAGACTGCAAAAGAACCAGGCTCCTGGGAACCCTCAACTGCCTCTCCACGGCCCAGACCGCGTGAGGAAGGGCCTACTGTGCTCAACGTACAAGTAAGCTGCCTTTGTTTTCATTAGAGGTCAAAAGGAAAAGGTTAAATACAGTGGGGCCTTGACTTTTTTGCTTTGAGTTGACAGAGTAATTTGAGTTAACGAGCTCCTTAACGAGCTTGGTCTTGGAATGAATTAAACTCGTAAGTGAAGGCCCCACTGTACCATGTGTATCCCACATACGCATGGTACTTTAATAAGGTGCTTGTCTCTGACCTTCCTTTCAAGGTTAATTTTCTTCTACTTGCTCAATTGTTTCACATTCCTCCAGGAGCACATGGAAGAGAGAGCAAGAAAGAGAAAGGAGGGGGATGGGGGGTGGGAGGAAGGAGGGGAATGATTTCAAGCTAGAAACCCCCCTTCAGTTTTCCCAAGGGCAGGACAGTGAGTAACAAGTGGCCTTAGAAGTCGAACCTGCCCCATGGCTCCGAGAGCTCAGAACTCGGCTCAGGGGCCACAGTTCCAGGGGCAAGAGCAGTCTTCAGGGTGCGAGTGTTTTCCTTTCTTCCCTCGGGTCCTTTTCTGAAATGGTTTTCTCTGTGCATTTCCTAACACTTGGGCAAGACATAAAGTCTGGGAAATAGAACGAATTCTTACCCATCTATAATATTCCTTCTCCTAAGCTTTCCCTGCTGTGGAATAAACAGCAAAACTTCAGAAATGAGAGCTTCCTTTAAGACCAATAGCTTTGATCTCTTCTTGTAACAATAAATTTAAAAAATCAAAACCATTGAAAATTCTTAAAAATTCAAAATTTCTGGAAAAATACTCGCCCCCCTCCCCCCCACACACACACCCACACACACCACCACCACCATCATCCCCATCACTCTCTTCTGCTCCAGGATTCTCAGTATCTTTCTATTTGGCTTTTAGCCCCCACCGCTTCCTGAGTGTGGTCTGTGCAGGAACAGGGAGACTCCACTTGCTCAACTGGCCAATGAGCAAGGGATCCACACCAGCTAAAAAAAAAAAAAAGTCCCTTCAACGCTCTGGCAGCTGAGAAAATGCCCAAATGTGGGCACCAGAGGGTCCGCTTCTCCACCCTGGGAAAGAAGCTATTCTCTCTGACATAGAAATCACACTGGACGCTCTGCACAGTAGGGATGTCCCACCTTTGGCCATGTGTCTTTGCTCGCTTTGACCACCAGGTGGCGCAGATTCGAATCTAAGCTCAGCATTCAAGTGCACAGGACTGCAGTTTGTGTACTAATCTAACGACTGCCTTTAATCTTTTACCCTTATTTCCCCCGCCTCCCCCCCAATCATATTCCTCCATATATATTTTATATTTTTTTAATTTACCAAATTCATTCTTTATTGGATGAGTAACTGGGAACAAATTCGCCATTACCTTTGTGAAAATTTTGCTACTTTATAATGATCCCCACCAACTTATCTTCATTTATACTGTGGGTATTTTTATAAGCTCCCATATGGAACCAGATGAGGAATCAATCAACTGGTACATGAATCTTCCAACATGGGAGGATGGTCAACAGTGCTTGGGAGGACACGCCAGCTCTCCCCGAAAGAATCACTTGCCAACACACTGAGCCGGTTCTGGGTCCCCGCGGGCAGCACAGACAGGAACTGGCGGCAAGAAAAGGTGCCACCAGGTTTCTGAGGCCAGAGCAGCGCTGAGCCACAGAGGGCCCATGTGGCAAGGCCTGGCGAGCGGACGCCCACAAGGTGGCGCTGGTGAGACCAGAACAAGACCACGGATAAACGAGAAGAGCCGCGGAGCAGAGGGCAAACACCCCTCTTGGGAACTGGGAAAGGCCTCCTGGACTGAAATTGGACTGAAATTCGGGAAATAGGAGGAACCTGAGCTGAGCTGGTTTCAGCTCCCAGTGAGACCTGAAATAAGTTTTACAAAAATAAAGAAAATGATATGCCGTGCACATGAGTTTGGGAACTGAATGTGGAACCCACTCTCCATAGCAAAGTCTGTGTGTGGCGCCGGGCAAGGGTCCAGGGACGACAGGTTAACTTTTTCCTGAAACGCAGCCCTGGGTGGGCGTGGGTCCCCCCGGTGGCCTCCAGGGAGCGGCCCGGGCCCCTGAGTTTCCCAGTTTACTAAGCGGGTGTGGACAAGATCCCAGAAGCAAGTTTATGCGTCGCTGGAACGGAGCCAGCCCAGAGAGGGCCGCACAGGTGACTTCCGTCTGCACTGTGCCACAGGGAGATTTCCCACGTACAAGGCACGACTCTAATAATGCAGCCACAGCACATCGCAAAGGCGAGCGGCAAAGGGGCCACCGAGCTTCACTTACAAACAATCCCAGGAGAATGTAGTTCGCAGGCACCTGGCGGCGGAGATCCTCACAGCAGGCGAGCACGATGAGCACCCCGAAGAATGCGGGGCTGCGGACCATTTAAAATCAGGTGTCATTTGCGTCCAATGATCATATCACGTGACACAGGTGGATAGAGACAGAGATGTCATTATATATTCATACCTGATAATAAGTTTTATAAAGTAAACCAAAGTGTGAATTATCATCTTTACCTCTTTTTTTTTTTCACTTTTAAAACTAACTTTTCTCATTGCTATCCACAGGTAGTTTGTGGGCTCTTTTAACATTTTTTTTTGTTTTGAAATAATTGTGAATTCATTGGAAGTTGCCAAGGGGCAGAGAGGCCCCCTTCGCTTCGTTTCCCTTAATGGTTCCATCTCACATTATTTATAGTCTATAATACGAATGCCAAAGCCAGTAATTTGACACTGGTACAGTGTGGGTATATAGCGCTCTGCATAGGACTATGGCATAAATCTATGTGCAGATACATGTAACCAGCACCACAATCAAGACGTGAAACTATCCCATCATTAAAACATTAACAAAGGTCTCCCTGTGCTATCCCTTTATGGTAACACACACACACACATACACACACACACACACACACACACCAAATTCTGGCAACCACCCACTTGCTTGTTTTCCATGTCTACAATTTTGTCATTTCAAGAATGTTATATCTTTAGGGGGTGTGGGTGTGGGTGTGGGTGGAGACAGAGGAGGGTCTGGGAGGGGATTAAAAATGATAGAGAAAAATAGCTATAAAAAAAGAACATCTCTGATTAATTTTTAAATGAAGAACCTTGATCAATAGCTAGTAGAAAAAAAAAACACTTTCAATCAAATCCAATAATACTTACAAGATTGAATAGGTGAACCAGGGACTCCTGTGCACCCAGTTTTTTAAACCTGGCCTGGTTTAAAAAAAAAAAAATCGATAGTTTTACTCAAGAAGTACTTAATTTTGCTAACAATGTGATACTTAAGTGGAAGTAAAACCATCTCCCGAGAATGGGGACACTCTGAGTGACTGGCAGTGACCGAGGTGAACACTCAGTGTCTCATTAGCATCAGCAAAGACTTACCAGAAAATAAATACAGCGATGATTGCCCCAGTGAGCACCAGCTGAGCAGACAGGAGGAGGAACACTTTTACAATGAAACCTGAGGAGACAGAAATGTTATTTTTGAGATATAATCTTCAAATGCAGTGACATAAGTGCAATGCAGTGACCTGTCTTTGATACTTAACCAAAGAAATGTTTCCTCTGGCTTTTGAGGCTGGGAGAGGAGCGCTGGTTTTGAGCGAGCCGACTGAATGAGGACAGCTCTGCAGGCCCATCTGAGTGTTTCATTGGAGGGCTGAGGGTGTATGCATGGAAGCCCCAACATTGTAAAGGCAAACTCGGGAATGGAGTTCCCTCTGAGGCACACCCTGTCCTCTCAGGCCCCAAAGTGATCTGAAAGGCCCGGGGGGTCCAGCCACACCCGTGGGCAAAATGGAGACCAGAGGAGCCTGCAGGAAGGCTGGCAGAGCGGGTGCGTCCCCCCTGGGGCGTGACCGTGGCTGTGGCTTTGGGCTGCGGGGAGTTGGCAGAGCTTTTCCACCACGTTTCTCTCCCACCACCTGCCTTGAGCCACTCCCTTCCCGGCTACCTGAGCAGAAACTAGGTAACCTGATGGATTGTGAACCGGACCAAGGAGCCCCCACGAGAGGCCTCTCTGTTGCCTGCTTCCTGCTGCGCAGCTGTTCCTGGGGTCTCTGAAGTTCCTGGGGTCTCTGAAGGGGTGCTGGCAACGACAAGTTACCTTTCGGTGGTTTTATGCCAGTTTTAAAAAGAAGAAAAAGAAATGCTGCTTAAAGTTGACTTAGCAGCGGTTCTCAACCTGTGGGTCGCGACCCCTTTGGCGGTCAAACGACCCTTTCACAGGGGCCGCCTAAGACCATCCTGCATCTCAGATATTTACATTACGATTCATAACAGTAGCAACATTACAGTTATGAAGTAGCAACGAAAATAATTTTATGGTTGGGTCACAACATGAGGAACTGTATTTAAAGGGCCAGAAGGTTGAGAACCACTGACTAAGAGGATCACGACTGTGTCCTTTTGCTGGGTTGTTTCTGGGCATAGGAGGTGTGACGGTGGCAAAATGGGCCTGAGCTACCTTAATGAAAACACCAGAACGTATTTACCCAAATGTGCTCTGCCTACATTAAAATAGTCACATCGACTATGTATGTATCAGGATATGTGAGAGAATGAATATTAAATGGCCTGCCTCATGAGACTAGACATGCAGATCAATGGAATAGAATTGAAAGTCCAGAAATAATTGTTGAGAATGTATGGTCTGCAACAGCATGGGTAGAACTGGAGAGCATTATGCTAAGCAAAATAAGCCAGTCAGAGAAAGATGAATATCACATGATCTCACTCATTTGTGGAATATAATGAACACTAGAGGCCCGGTACACAAAAATTTGTGCACTCGGGGGGGAGGGGGGGTCCCTCAGCCTGGCCTGTGACCTCTCACAGTCTGGGACCCCTCGAGAGACAACGACCTGCTGGCTTAGGCCTGCTCCCGGGTGGCAGAGGGCAGGCCCAATCCCTAGGTGCAGCCCCTGGTCAGGCTCAGAGCAGGGCCGATTGGGGAGTTGGGGCGCCGCCCCCTGTCATGCACAGAGCAGGGCGGATCGGGAGGTTGCGATGCCACCCCTAGTCACGCTCAGGGTAGAGCTGATTGGGGGGTTGGGGCACTGCCCTCTGTCACACTCAAGGCAGGGTCGATGGGGAGGTTGTGGCGCCACCCCCTGTCACGCACAGAGCAGGGCCCATCAGGGGGGTTGGGGCTCCGTACCCTGTCACGCACAGAGCAGGGTCGATCAGGGGGTTGGGGAGCTCCCCCCTGTCACGCACAGAGTAGGGCCGATAGGGGAGTTGGGGCACCGCCCCCTGTCACACACAGAGCAGGGCGAATCAGGGGTTTGGGGCACCGCCCTCTATCACCCACAGAGCAGGGCCGATCAGGGGGTTGGGGCGCCGCCACTGTCACACTCAGGGCAGGGCCAATGGGGAGGTTATGGCTCTACCCCGTCACACACAGAGCAGGGCCCGTGGGGGGGGGGGGGGGTGGGGG